CTAAGCTAGCTACATCTAATCTTGTTGAATGTTGTTTCTCTTTCATCGTCCTCTTATTTCTCTCCCATCGACATTTGATCTGGTCTCTATGTTCGTTTTCCTCTGCAGGCACTTCACTTTTCATCCTGCTGGCTGTCTTCATAAACACAAGTTGTAATTTAGTAAATGGATCAAGAATGTGGTAAAAGCTTGTATTCACGTCACCCCACACTCAAATGAAAGGACATTCTCACCATCTCACAGATATTATTTGTATTTAGCCATGGATACTCTATTAACTCACATAAATTACTTCACTGCTCTCTCCAATAAAGATTAAATGACATTTTGGAAAATAAGCGATCCTTGTCCCTTTTTGTTTTTAATTATGAGTAACCTTTTAAAGGTCCCATGTCATGGCCATTTCTACTGATCATAATTCCATTGTTGAGGTCTACTAGAATAGATTTACATTGTTCAATGTTCCAAAATGACATTGGTTTCTCATACAGCATCTCTGTATAGTATGTGTATTCACTCTCTGTCCTAAACAGCTTGTTGGAGCTCCTGCCCCCCCTCCCTATGAGCCCAGTGTGCTCTGATTGGTCAGCTCGCCCACTCTGTTCTGATGAGTCCACCACTGTTACAGCGGAACATCAATGATTACCAGAAAATGACACCAGTAAGGGCAAACAGATGAGAATGCTGCATGGGGTCTGGGTGCCGTGTTGGCGGGACGTTGCGGGGCTCGCTGCTCCGCCCTTTGAGGATCGAGGAGTGGACAGTGTGAGCTGTATTACTGGTGTTGTTTCCTGGTTGCTGCGTGGGGTCTGCGAGACAAATAATATTTATTCAATTCCAATAAATCTACCCAGAAAAGGTGTGAATGGATTTATTGAAACATAATCATTTTGATTTCATACAGCACTGTTGAATCTGATTACTCTTTATGTGTTTTCACTCCTCAAACCATATTGGGATTAGAAGCAGTGATAATTCATTATATGTTACAGAGTCCCAAAACAAACAAAAAGAAAACATTTTAAAATCCATTGTTACAAAATCACCAGTGTCCCAAGTTTTACATAAACTACTTTAAATTTGAAAAAAGCAAGACAGAGTAAAAGTATAATGTTTTTTAAATTACTTCTCTTGTAACATGTTAAATATATCAAAGTGATGTTATACTTTATACTAATAACAAAGCTTTATCTATTCATTCCTTGTTTGTCATATTAAGACATCATATAAATATATTTATATATATATATATATATATATATATATACATACATATACAATTGCAAGAATAAATATGTCCGTGTAACAGAAAATGACGTGTCAATTCATATCAAAACAAGCAGGACCTTTTTACTTTAGCATTGAATCAAATTATCCGGTGTAAAAGTGTTATCTATCTAAATCACAAAGTATTAATATTAAAAGTATAATCGGCAGGAAACAAAAAAAAATGTGATCTAGTATACCAGATCTTCACTGTTGCAAAAAATAAATAATATATATAGATACATTTATAATCACTCTATTCCGTTTTAGCATTTCTTGCATTCTGTGATACCCACCAAAAAGTGCTTTGTAGATATCCTTTATCCAAAAGTTGTGTTGTTCTCTACATGTCTACTCTAGTCATCATAGTTTTTGTCAGGGTTGTATGGGCCCGTTTCTCAGCGACTCTGACCATTCCTAGTTTCTGGAAAGATCACAGATTTGAAAATACAACACTGATTTTTATACAATACTACATTCATATTCAATGGGTTTATCATAAAAAGGGAGTGTAATGTGCGTTAACTGTACCTCTGTTTGTTGTTTCAGATTATTAGCGTGTGGAGAGCTGTGAGCAATAAGAGGAGGATTAAATCCCTGTTTGCTCAGCAGCCAGTAAGTCTTGTGAGATCCTTTACCCTGTCATGGACCCAAACACACTGGTTAAAAACATAGGATTTACATGCTATTGGAGAAATATTAAGACTCTAGTCACCTTCATTTCTATTGCTCCTCTTTCCTCCAGCTCAAACGAACCAGCCTGGAACAGAATGTCAGCAGTGCACTGAGATATGTGAATCTTCAGGGCTGTAAAATATACAGAAGAGAGTGGCACACATCTTAAAAAGTATACTTTTAAGATACACAACTGTAGACATTTTAAAAGTTAATTTCAAGTCAAATGTCTGTGACTAACAAGACTATGCTAATGTTAGCATATTCTTGTTATGTTAGCATAGTCTTGTTAGTCTGGTGTTTTCCCGGTTTAGCAGGCCTGTTAGCATGCTAATATTAGCTGATACATGTTTGGAGATATGCAGTGATAAACCAACCAATTGTTTGACTTGATGCTGCTATAAGAAAAGTCAAAGGATCAATAGACTCATAATGAGTCATCTTTTTGCACATTAATAACAACCAACTTTGTATATTTGCATCTGCGAAGGTGAGACTTCAGTTCACTCACGTAAGCTGTTGCTTTCCATGCGAGACGCAGTGTTCACCGTGTCGCCAAAGAGACAGTAGCGTGGCATAGTGGTGCCTACCACTCCAGCAACCACTGGACCTACAACAAGGTGTTTGTATTTATGGGCTCAAAATTATCCAATGTCAATTATATTATGTAAAAACAGACACCAAGTGTATAGGACAACAAATTAATTAAAAGGAAACATAAATCCTGCATATTTATATACTGCGTTGATTGTAAGAACTACATGTCTCTTACCAGAATGTATACCAATGCGGATTGCAAGACTCTCATTGGGCATATGGTGGATTTTGAAGACTTTGATGGCTCCCAGGAAATGCAAAGCCATTGTAGATATCTCCAAAGCGTGCTGATTGCCATTGCTGATGGGTAGACCACTGGCTACCATGTATGCATCACCAATTGTTTCCACCTATAGCAAAGATGATATTCTCAGCAGCATTTTTTAAGTAACAATAGAAATCTGTTCCCTGCTAAAGAAGCAATGTGCAATTTAATGAAAAAAATCTACATTTCATAGTAATAGTTATTGCGTAACATGCTTGATTGCCTTCTTGCCGAGACATAGAGGATCAAAACTCATATTTCCGCGGTAAATTTGAAGCTACAGTTTAGTTTAGTTTTATTAAACATATTTATGTCAGGGAAGATGTACAAAAATACATTAAAGGTCTCCTATCATGCAAAATGCACTTTTTCATGTCTTTAATACATAGATATGTGTCCCCGGTGTGTAAGGCAACTCTCAAAGTGTCAGAAAACAAAACCCTCTCTCTTTTCCTCCGTACCCAAATCTCTAAAAACGGGGATACAACGGATCTGATCCAGATTTGCTGCCGATATTACGTAATATCAGAAATGTGGGCTGGCTGTATGCCCACAGCCCTATCAGAAACGTCGCTATCAGAAACAATGCGCAACGTGTGAAGTAATATGGTCTTTATTTACATGAGCAAGCATCGCTAACACTCAGAGCTGACGCTGTACTGGAGAGAGTATGTGTAAAAAAGCAGGATATAAAAAGGTACTCGGCCACCTTGTGGTAAACCCGCAAGAAAATAAGCATTTGAGCTCCATACTGTTTCAGAAATAATCCTTGATGTGGTTTTGAACATGATATGGCGTTTAATCACGGCAGCAGCTGACAATCTCTCGGTAGAATTCTCCTGCATAAGCTCCCCTAGAATGGGTGATCTGTTTGGTATTTTGAGCAAAACACTTCATAGACATGTATTTTATATATCTGAGACTTTAATATATGCCTACAAATAGTATAATAAGAGACCTTTAATCAAAATAAAAAATGCTTTGTACCAGATTTAGCTAGCTTACTCTGTTGCATCTCCCTGGCACGCCTTAATTACAATGTTGATGCAATTTTTTTCCCACAAAATAGATACATAAATAGGGTAGGTGACGTCACAGAGACTAAACCATTATTCGTACAGTCTTTGATTTAACCAGGCCATGCTGGGTTCACCTGTTTCCAGTCTTTGTGCTAAGCCAGGCTAACCAGCTGGTAGCTATGCCTTCATTTTTGCAGCACAAAAATCGTTTAAAGGTCACATGTCATGGCCATTTCCACTGATCATAATTCCATTGTTGAGGTATACGAGAATAGATTTACATTGTTCAATGTTCCAAAATCACATTGGTTTCTCATACAGCATCTCTGTATAGTATGTGTATTCAGCAGTATTCACTCTCTCCACTAAACGGCTCGTTGCAGCTCTTGCCCTGTGAGCCCAGTGTGCTCCGATTGGTCGGGACCAGTCGGGACGTTGTGAATCGCGCTGAGCTCCGTGGAGGTGTGATTTCCTTGTTTAGCGATTCACAGCGAAACACAGCTGAGCACACACAAAGTCACAGCCGAAGTAAAAACAAAAAGTGTGGCTTGATATTGAGTAAGAAAAAGGTTGATAAACGCTGTGAGAATGGGTCTGCAGAGAGAATTTCGCCGCGATCCCAACTGTCTGTTATCAGCCTGCAGCCAGGGAGGAGAAATCAGCAGAGCTGCCTGCACTGAGTGTGTGTGTGAGGAAGTCCGTGGATTGGTCAATTTGGACCAATCAGCGGGGGCTTAACGTAACGGCTCCGCGGACGTAACGTAACGGCTCCACGGATTGGTCCATTTCGTTCTGGGGGACGACATGACATCATGATGTACCCGGAAGAATCAAATGGACAGTGACGTATCTCCAACGAGGCGTTTTGGGGAGGTATTTTCTATGTTAGAGTTTACTCGCTACATGGTATACTTTGAGGGTTTTGACTCTGCACACCATTTACATGCATAAAAACCTTTATAACACACAAGGGGACGGGTAATAACCGGAAAAGCATGACATGTCACCTTTAAATTCATTTCCCCCCAAAGATTAAAACATATTTTTGCTTAAAGAATATAACTTCAGCATATCATTTAGACAGCAGGTCAGAGCCAACACTTTATGAGTTTTCTTCTTCATTCAATGCATACAGCTGAATAAGAAACTAAAAGTGCTTTGCATGACTTACTTTATAGACATCGTACAGCTTGATGACATCATCAAAGAGGCTGTAGAGGTCATTGAGGAACGTCACCACCTCCATCGCAGAGCTGACGGAGCACATTGAAGTGAAGCCCACGATGTCGGAGAAGAAGACGGTAACCATGCTGTAGCTCTGTGGCTCCACCGACTTTCCCGCCATCAACTGATCTGCGATGATCCTGCCACCAAAGAAGCACCAGCACTGAGAAGGTGAGGGATGGACGTCCATTTAACAGTTGTCATGTGATTCAAATGTATCATTTTGATATGTCACCTTGGTAACATGGTGGAGAGAAGCTTATCTGCACGGATCTTCTCCGCCGTGAGCTGATCGGTCCTCTCCTCCACCACCTCCTCCAAGTGATTTGCATATTTCTCCAACTTTTCCACCATACTATCCAGTATATTCGCATGACTACAGTACAGAAAATAATTACAATCCTTTAAGGAATTTTCAGGTTCAGTTTGTTCGTTTGTGATTCATTTTTTTCAATATTCATTCTCACTCATTAAAACAAATCTTGACATAAGCAGATGGGCATTTTAACCATGTTTGCTATTGAGTCCTTGAAGGACAATTTACCTGAAAAAAAAGATGTTGAGCTTACGTGTAGCACTATTTATTTATTGTACTAGATTTTTTGGCTGTGATTTGCAGTGTTGGGATTGTCGGCCACAGAGGTATTTCTGTTCACTGAAATATTTTGGAACTGGAAAACACTCATAAACAGTGGATGGATTATCTTGAGTAAAGAGGTAATCAATTCCTGAAAAAGACATTGCTGTTGAGTGTTTTAAAATGTGCTTTGTCGTTTTACACACCACAAGCCGATAGCCATCTAGTTCCATTATATAACAGAGAAGACAGATAACCATGGCCGATATCTCCAACGCTTGGCTACTCACACCAAAACAATCTAGATAGATAAAAACACTACAGGTTTCAGAACAAGATATGCACTACCTTCAGTTAAAGCATTGCACATGTATTCAGTCACTACAGTTATTTTGAAGCAGAAAACCAAGTATATCCAAGGTCGACATATTACATACGGCAGACAGGGATAACCTTTTATTTTCTCACAGCCTTTTGGAAAGTATAAGGTAAGACAAAAAAGGTCTGTGTGTGGCCTGACCTTTCTGGGCTTATGTTCCTCAGCTCTCTCCGTATAGATGAAAATGGCGGTCGGCGGTCAGGGTTTTCATTCCAGCAGGCTTTCAGCACTACGTTTATTTTCTCATCACACAGCATGTCACAGAGCACTGGGCGGAGGGGTTCCCCTTGGAAAGGCGTCCGCAACTGCATAATAATCTCTGAAGAAAAAAGGTAAAAATTGGAATCATCGTAGTGTTTGAATTTGAGTTTGAAAAGGAATTGATATGCTTTTATCATGCTAACCTTTGGGCTCCAGGTTGATGTCCTGATAAGGGCCAGACTTAGCATTGTACATGAGCTCCCACATGATGATGGCAAAGCTGTAGATGTCAGCTTTGGGTGTCCCATTGACCTGAAGACCGAGATGTCTCAGAAGCTCGGGGGCTGTCCAGTAAATCTCTACAAAAAACAAATCCCCGTGCATGTGTTACCTCCCTTTTATGATGTGTTAAATGCTGTTAAAAACGTAAAATATGATTACTAGGCATTAGAGTGCTCCCACTGACCTTCATGAACAGGGTTTTCCAGTGGGACAAACTTCTTTTGGTTCCCGTATTTAAACTCCCACAGGCCAAAGCCAGTGAGTTTGACCTGGAGTCGACTGTCCACCAGACATGTGCTGGGCTTCAGGTTCCCATGAAATTTCAGGTTACTTTTGTGAATAAACTCCATACCCTAAAACCCAGATGCACAGATTAAAGTGATGAATTTTCAGGACAAATAAAAAACAACCTGTTTATATTTCAATGAATTGTCTCACATTGACAATGTCGTAAGCAAAAGACAGCTTGAACATCGTATCCAGGTCAACATCTGACTTCATAAGATCCTGCAGAAATCAGGGAAGTTAAATATATAATACACAATAACAATCACAGGGTCACTACAGACATACATGTAATATTGAGTTGCCCAGGCTTGTTGTTGCTCACTTTTGTCATGTGTAAAACAATGCTGATATGAAAGTCATAATCACATAGTACGCCTTATGTTAGTTTAAATCAAGCTGGAGTAGATTATAAATATTTTAAATCATTTTAGCACTGGTAAATAACCAAAAGTATTAAACAGAATAAGAACACCCCTTGTTATTGTAGGTGATTTTCTACCCTTTGGGTTAATCCAGTATGGCTTTGGGTCTATATTGACAAACATTAACTAAGAGAAATGGGGCAGCTTTAATGTTGCAGTTCTGCTGTGATGTAAAGTATGAAATAGAAGTGTGTACACTGACCTTCAGACTGCCTTTCCTGCAATACTGGATGATCAAACAGACATTTGGTGACACGATGCAAACACCAAAGAACTGAACCAAGTTCTCATGTTTCATCTCTTTCATCTGTCTTAAAGAGTTTTACACGGGTTAGGCACAGTATGGAATTATCAGGGCTACTAATGTGTCCTAAAGAAAAGCATTTCAGCATTAAAAGGTTAACACATGTTCTGTAGAAAAATAAGATAAATATGTTTCTTTTTTCGCCTAAACACTAGTTATTACTCGTTATAGTTGGATTTACTATATTTGTATTAGGGTCACTCCTGGGGGAAAAATATGATGGAGCTGGTAGAAAGGGTAATATTCAGAGAAAAAACAAGATTAACGTTTTAAATAAAAAAACGTTATTTTAAACGTTATTATTGCACATTTTGATTTAAAATGTAATAATTCCTTTTTTAACATAGAATGGCCCTCATTGTAGGATTTCACCTAAAATAAAAAAAAGATGCACTAAAACATTTAAAGTATTTTTGAACCAGGACAACATGAGTGACTTTACCGTATTGAACTCTGCGATTATTGAAGGTTTCCCGAAATGCGAGCTAATGTTGTTCTTGAGGTACTTGATGGCCACTTGATTTCCCTACATGGAATTACATTACATACATTAAGGAAATCACATATTAAGCAAACGGTCACAGTACAGTACGCTCATTTCAAACTGGTACCTGGTAGAGACCTATGGTGGTGTAGATGTGTTCTCTCACTGGCTTGGACAAATTAGAGTGAGAGCTGTTGCTCTCTCTCTGACTGGTCGTGGTGCTCAGAGATAAACCATGAAATCCCTAGAGGACACACACAGAAGAAGCCTGTGAACAAAAGCAAAATGTAGACATACACAGATGTATGCTCATTCTCTATCTGTTTCAGCGCTCATACAGCGCATCATACCTTGATGATGGTGATGTCGCTGTAGTTGATCAGCCACCAGCGGGAGCCGTCCAGCCTCGTCTGGAGACGAAACTTCTGCAGAACTAGGACTCCGATGCACAAAACTGCCAGAATACCAATGAGGGGGAAGCCCACGAGCAGAGCCAGCAGGGCGATGTCTGCACCCCATCAACAAGGGACATGATGATGCTGGTTAGTATGGTTTGTTTCACGAGTGGTCTTTAGCAAACATAACATTTAGATGATTGCTGAATTTACTAGATGCATATTATACTACTCTTACCATTAATGAGCCATTCACAGAACTCATTGTTGAACCCGCATTCTGGTTTGTCAGAGGGAGGTCCTGCTCCTGCTCCTGGCCAGACCACAGAAGCAAACATAGACGTTGGCCTGAAATGAAAACGTTGGCCTGAAATGAAACATTTTTTGGTGTGATATCCCCTAATTGTAATCATAAAACAAATGTGAAATTATTTGATGTATTTAGTTTTATACATATTTTACCGGACATCTTTGGTCTGACTGTCGAAATTGAGGATGGATACAAACTTGGTTTGGTCTCCCACAAGCTGCAGGTCATAAATGGAATAGTCCAAGTTTCTCTCCCCCTCTTCGTCAAAATGGACTAGTCCAGAGGCCCCTGTAAAAATGATCCGTGGTGAAAAAAAAGAAACATATATACTTTACTTAACATTTCAATGTTTTGCTACTTTAAACATCAATACATTTCAGAGGCAAGTATTCTTTTTACTCTACAAAACATAATTTTGTTTTTATTTGAAAATAGACATTGTACATTCAGAAAAATGTAAATGTACCCGAGTTTAATAAAATAAAGATGTAAATAATTTATATTATATATATTTATATTTTCGAGCTGTAGTTACCTGTAGTTTCATAGATTTTATAAATCATAAATAAACTGATAAATTACATATATACAGATTTGGCCACCTAGCAAAAAAACAATCATCTCTGGTTTCCATATCCATACTCCTCCCAAAATAATACAATAATAAGAGCAAGTACTAACCATTAAATCGAATGTTGTTTTTATTTTTTAATCTCCGCAGGAGCTCCTTTCTGTCTCGAGGGTCTTTTCCGTCTTTGAGGACTTCCTTCAGCCCCATGGCGTAAAGAAGCACTGCGTCGTGCAGGTAGGCAGCGTACGGGCTAACCTGAAATAACAGAAAATTAAACAATTGTATATGTGATTTTACTTTTTATCAGAACAATTGGAAAATGAGTTGTTACAGCTCAGGAAAACATGGATGCATACCTCTCTTTCAGAAGACAGGTGGCTCTGAAACGGGTGTTCCTTAAGTCTTTGAAAAACTCGCTCAAAGAAGTCAAAATACTCGTAGCCATCGTAGGATTTCTGGCCAATAATAAAGGTCATGTCAAAAGCTCTGATGGCAGCTTGGTCCATCCTGTTGTTCACGGCATATTTCCACAAGTTATCCTGCTCAGGAAAGAGATTGATACAGTTCACATGGAAGAAAAAGATAAGTTATTGTTGACAGCAGTTCATAATTGTTCTTTCCATTTCCAAAGCTTGTAGTCCAATGAATGGTGCGGGAGACTTTTACCTCAGCTGATTATGTGCGTAACTTTAGATTTCTACTCACCACACTGCCACTGACTTCAAAATGCTGCACCAGGAAGAACACATAGTCACCATGCATCAGACCTTGTCGCTCAGCCTCCAGCAACAGAGCCATGGAGTCCTCTGAGTTTGTTAGCACCACAATCACTGCATGGCAAAGGACACATTTACTAGTCAGAAATATGGTTATGCGTGGTTTGAATGAGCCTCGAACTATTTCCTTCTTACCTCTGGCCACTGTTGAGATTAACTTAACATTTCGGTAAATCAGCTTCTGATTGCTGGTGTCAAACTTGAGCGCAGCAGCTAATTGGAATTTGGCTCTCAGGGGCTCCTCGATGGTTTTCCACAGAGCATCAACTTTGTCCCAAGTGTTCGATTCCAAGCCCCCTCCGATCATCGCCACGTGGCTCCATCCGAAGAACTCCAGGGTCTTTATCAGGACCTCCGAGCTTCTTTTAAGAGGCGGCACGACTTTGATGTAGGAATCGTAGATGTCACTGTTGTCCATTTTAGCGGATAGACCCACAAATCCAAACATGGGGATGTTCCATGTCGATGCAATGAGACCGGTGACCTGGAAATAATTTTTTAAAAAGCTTTAGGAATCCACAAAATATCTTTAAAAGTAATTTTCCATGAAAAGTTGGAGGGCTTCCTGGTGAAATAATTGTAGAAGACACCATGCTGCTGCAGAGTATAAATCATGCAGAAATGGGAAGAAAACTAAGGACATACTGTACCAGATTCAGCACATCATATCAGTATTTTTTTCTCTTTTCTCCCATCTTTTGCATGATTTACAATCTACAGCAGCATGGTTTGAAAACATATGCCTTCCACTGAATGTGCTTCGGTTTGAGCCAGGTGTAACACATCTGTAAACCTTCACCATGAAGAGAATATGAAGAGAAGCGGATCAGATTCCAGTTTTACCCAGTGGTTGAAGAAGTATTTAGATATTTTACTTAAGGATAATTAGAAATATCACCATGTAAACATACACAACTAAAGAAAGAGAGAGAAAGATTAGAGATTTGCAGTGTTTAAAACCAGCCTCAAGCTTTGGCTAAAATTAGCACCAAAGGGTCACCGCTAATATTTATCTTATATTTATTATATTTCTCATACTGATTCTATTTATTATCTCACATTGATAAACATTGTTGAATGTAATGTGCTTGTTTTCTGTGTTTATCTTCCCAGGAACAACTTATGCACATCAGTTTCTTTCTAACTCTGGGGAATTACTTTTAAATATACGCTGTCACTTTAATAAAGAAAAAGTAATTATGTTTAATAATGAACAATAAAACCAAATAAGTATAAATTGAATTCCTGCATTCACCATTAGGCTACTTTGCTAAAAGTATAAAAGTTTTAGGAATAAAAACTATTTAAAGTTATATAACATGTTTTTATCTTTATAAATGTAATTACCTTTTGGACTTTCCACAAAAAAATGTACATAAAAACATCTAATGCAAGAATTATCAATTTCTGCATCACATGGATCATACCTCAGCTTCTTCGGGACATGCTGGACCAAACAGCGCAGACACATTCTCGCTCCACACCTGCTGAATGAATCCTCCCAGGGAAACTTTAGGACTACAGTCTGTATCCTTGAAGACAAAATCCAGACTGTAGTTCCCCAGGAAGGAGGGGTTGGTGTTCACCTTCTCCACGGCGATCTGCAGGGCGGAGCCCAGCCGCAGGGCGCTGAAGGGGAACGAGATGTTCCAGGGAGCCTGGAAGCCGATGATCAGCCTGTTAGACCCGTTGGTGTCGTTATTGGTGACGGTGGCGGATGTCAGTGTGAAGTGCAGCACCAATATGAGCCTCATGTCAGGAGAATACACCACCCTCATCATCACTTCCATCCTATTAGGTGATCCATGTTACAGGGTTTAAATAGACAACATCCAACTTTGTGATAGGGAGGAGAACATGTAAATATGTGGAGGCGGGTGGGAGGTCCAAAAGGGCATTGAGTGCATTATTTTCTTTGTTTTTTTCTTTAATATAGTATCATCTTGGATCACGGTCAAAGAGGGCCCCATGCTTGAATTTAATGTCTTAATTAAAGTAGATTCGTTTTATCTCATTAACTGTATAGTCATATTATTATTTTATTTTTACATTAATATTATTTGGTCAAAAATAGCATGTGACTCTTATTTGATTCCAAAACGACAGGTTTGTATAAGATACACGTTTTTGTGTATTTGTGTAAGAACTACTTTTAATCAAGTGCTGTATTGAAGTACTCTACTACTTTGAGGTACTTATTATTATTTTCATTTTCTGCTACTTTCTACTTCTACTCCACAAAGACAAAAATTATACTTTTTACTCCACTACATTTCTCAAAATCTTATATAATATCATACACCTAGATTAATAACAGAGAATAAAACCAGAAGCCACTTTATCTAACTACCAAACAGTATATAAACCAATGAAAATAAGGTCCACCTTAAGCAACTAGAACATAACAGTGATATACATATTCATACATTAACCTTTACTTATGGTACTTTAAGTATATGTTGATGCTTTCACTTAGTAGTTTTACTTAAGTGAAGTTTTGAATGCAGCATGGGAATTCTTTTATAGATACATGTAGAAACTTTAAAACTAGTTGTTTTCATGACTCGTGTTTTAAGGTGATTTGAGATATTCCTGTTTTTATGATTGCTTAGTATCTTATCTGTTGTTTTGTTAATTACATGTAATACCCTTATATAAAAAAAATTGATATTAAATGCAGAAGTTACCTACTATTTCCAATTGTTCTACACTGTAGTACTGCTACCTTACCTTAAGTAAAACATCTATGAGTTCTTCCACTGCTAAATAAATCACCTGTTAAATGTATTAACCATAAATCAGTAAATTCCAAAGCTACTACAACCAGTCTGCCTTTAGTTATCCCTCATAAATCCAGTGTCAAAGTTCCCCATATCCTCTTTCTAACTCTCACACACACACACACACACACACACACACACACACACACACACACACACACACACACACACACACACACACACACACACACACACACACACACACACACACACACACACACACACACACACACACACACACACACACACACACACACACACACACACACACACACACACACACACACACACACACAGATACATGAGGAGGGTGGGCAATCAGAATGTAGGCTAATTTAATTATGACAAATAAAAACACGTGAAATGTGTGCTGATGACCCCCTGGGATTTTTCTCTGCAGAAACCTGATGAGGCAGGTTGAGCCCTGCTCGCTGGCACAGAGAAGTTCACACACAACTGAGTGCACTTTCAGGTGCTAATGACCAGAGGTGGGCAGCTTGTTGGTGTTTCTGGCTTCAGCTGCTTTTCTTCCCCAGGAGATCTCAGCACCTCTGCTAATCCCACCAGGTAACCTCAGTTTCTCCTAATGAACCTTTACCTTCAACTTTATCCTGCACAATCAAATCCTTCAGGAGACACCATTAAAATGCATACATGACATTCAGGTGACATCTGTTTATATGATTGGACAACCAAAGAATTGCTTTGTAAAAGATGACATTAATTAAAAGATAGATTCACAGGCAGAACAAGGAAGAAATATGTAAACAAACATACCATACTAACTTTTATTGGATATTGCTGCAGCGTTTTCCGTCTTTAAGAAAAAAAACTCCCCTTTTTATGATTTTAGCATACATTATTTGTGACGTGTCCACGATGACTGCTGTCCCGAAAAAGTTGCATGGTCTTACTTTTTTAATCAGTCTGATCAAAGGTGCAATTCCAGCTTATCTTTCCTTTTTATTTTAATTGAGGCATGAAGTTACACCGACACAACCTACTGTATGTGCTGATAACACATTTCTGACCTGGAAAAAAACCTTTATCATTGGAAAATATGTTTAGAAAGTCTACTAGACGGTTATTTTCATTCAAATCAAATTCATTTCAGTGTTCAAGAAAGTACAATTTAATCAAATATTTCACACTGAGAGACTTGGCTGGTCTTAATTCTAGAAGAGTCTGATGTCACTTCAGAAAAATTATTTTATTCGTGAACATTTTAATGAAAACATTTGAGAAATATGCAATTTGTAGGGGTGTTGAAATATGTTGTAAATGTTATTGAGGAACACTATTATGCTTTTTTTCGTGTGTTGTATAGGTTTTTGGTGCAAGCCCTGTGTTCTGATTTTCTCTCCCACACGCTCCCCCCCCCCTGCCTGAAACACCTCCATTTTGCTCCTTAGTTTTTTTCTGTAACATAATGACATCACTACGTAACACATGTGCTTCTATTGTCTAGCGCTCCAGCACATTGTACGAGATAGGCTAAGGGGCGGAACATCTCTAAGCGGTTGACCACTCACAACAGAGACAGCCAGCCATCTAACCAATCAGAGCAGACTGGGCTCTGGTTTCAGACGGAGGGTGAAAAGAGGTGCTGCAGCACAGGCAGTATGAGAAAAATAAAGAGCTTTTTGAACATTAAAGCATGGAGACATGTCACAGTAGATACACAGAGTTAGCATAATAGGGCCCCTTACATAATTTCATATCGCTTGCACTTACAGAGTTGCGGCGCTGTATGACCTTTAACTTACTTAACATGAATACTAGCTATTTTTCAAAGAGAACTGTAAGGTTTGTTTTGTTGTTGAGGTGTGAGGACTTTGAATACGTTAAACGTTAGATAAGATTACTGACCTTTCATCAGCTGCAGCATCTCACTTCCTCAGACATCGCCTCAGATATGAGCGTTATCTGGACTGAAATTAAAGCAATATAAAATAAAGGTTGATAGAGCTGACGGTTTTGAAATACATGTATAATAAATTGCAACATACACACTTTAATATCATGATGTACAACTTGGAGCAGTTTAATGTCAGGTTTTGTTATCAGTGTAAGTGAAGGTGGAAGGTTCAAAGGTTCCTCTGACCTTGTCTTTATGAGCTCTTGTACTCCTCAGAGCAGAGGAGGAAGATCTGCTGTGCTCACACAAACCACACACACCTGCTTGTGAGCTAAGAGCGGAGTGGAACACCTGAGAGGACCGCCAGCAGGTAGGAAAGCTGTGGCATTACGCATTCATCAATAATAATGAAGATGGGAAATAATTTTGTTTGTTGTTTGCAATTTGCATATCAGTCTACCTCACTCATACATTTCAAATGTATACTGATAAACAAACTGATGAATACTGATATATTTGAATATAGTTGACCCTTCTTTCTCTCTCATTAGTATTTGACTTTACGCGCATGCACACCGTCACTCTGCATTCGTAAGGAAAAAATGTCTTTGCTTGATTTGAGATTCCTTCTATATAATATCCTTTAGTTATATTTTCATATTACTTGCATAACCTGCTTCTTTTCTTTCATGGTGCAAGCAAACAGGTGCTCTTTCTTTCTTCACTTAAAATATAAAGTGCTGCTAGTCTTCCTGGGGTCCACACTGCAAAATAACAATACTATCAACAATAAACAAAATGTATTTAAATCACATTGTGTTATTAAATCAAGACAAATGGAAGTATCGGAAAAATAATAGATTAATCATTTTCTGATACCATAAAACGAGTTGTTCCCAATCAGGCTCATAAAATGATTACCCTTGACCTCAGTATAGTTCACAATGTGACACACGACCCAATCTGTGTCAAAGGTCAAGAACATTTGTAGTTAATGCTTTTTAAGGAGAATAACTATTTATTTGTTCCACCATGTGTTTAACGTCATTCCGCAGTAGTTTAACAGTGTTTGGAAATACTCACTATTTTGCAGCTGTATCACTGTACATATAGACTTCTCTGACTTTCGTGTAGGGGACTCTATCTGCAGAGATTATCATAAGTGTTGCACAAGTCGTGTTGACTTTGACCTCTAGTTATTACAATATGGAGACAAAACCAAGTGTTAAGGAGCTGAGGATGGCAAAACAGACTGTACATCTTAAACAGTTATACAATCAACTTGATGTGTCAAAGTGCTAATATCTCTAATTCACACTTCTCTGCATCCCAGCAGACCTTCCACCATGGACTTCCTGCTCCAGCTTCTGTTCTCGCCCCTGCCGACCTCGGCCATCGTCTCGTTGTTCGCCCTGGCAGCTGGCGTCGTGTTCTACCTGCACACACGGCCCAGCCCCCTGCCCAGCCCCTTAGACCTCCACCACCAGTCTGAGGGCATCAAGGTAGAGAGCTGTCCATTCAGAGTGTTGGTAGTAGAAGTGTCGAAGAGATCAATAGTTCATCTTCATATATAGTTCCTGAGACCTTAGCACTGATTGGTAGAAAGTTCACTTGAGGTACTTTGTATTTTTTTTAACTCCACCACTGATTATTCTCATTATAATGTTTTGTTTTTATTATTTCCATCTATGCATTCTATAGAATATTCAATACATATATTTGTAATCTTATTTGGTGCTTTTTGGCATTTTATCTCTGTTTTCATGTTCATTCTTTTTTATTTTCCTTGTTGTCCTTCAGCTTTTGTTTTAAAAGGTTCCATAACGATATTCTAATCCTTATTATTTTGCTTGTTGTCCTCAGGATGGAGCGAGGAAGAGTATGTTGCTTGAAGATAACAACAACCTCATTTCGTATTACCATGAAGACGCCAAGACACTCTATGAGGTCTTTCAGAGGGGCCTTAAGGTTTCAGGTGATATTGGAGATCTCTTTGTCTCACATGAATTAGAACATAATACATCCCTTAAGAAAATGAAACAGTTTTGCCACATTTTTAGGAACCCCAAGGCTATAAATGGCATATTAACAAACCCCTCTGTAAACACTTTCAGAATAAAGATGGGAATCTAGTTAATTACTTAAGACTATTATTTTGTGTATCTGAACATATGTTTAAATATGCTGATGAGGTGTTGTGAATTGGTAACTGATGGGAGAAATATAGACACAAATAGGCAACGTTAGTAAAATGTACACCTTTATTTAGCTAGATTTAAAGAGGAAGCAATTTTACCTGTAGTGTCTGGTCTTTAAAGTCATCTCATTCCCAGGTAACGGACCATGCTTGGGCTACAGAAAAACTGGGAAGCCGTACCAGTGGCTGAAGTACAAACAGGTAAAAAAGAGCAACATTTGAGAAACAACAAAGTAAATATGAACTTCTGTAAACCCTTGCTGACCTTTACTCCACTTCCTGTTCCTGAAGGTGTCTGATAGAGCGGAGCACCTGGGGTCAGGGCTTCTTCATAAAGGACTGAAGCCCAACTCTGACACTTTTATCGGCATCTTTGCACAGAATAGACCTGAGGTGAGTGTGGGCGGTGCTAACGGGAATACAGGTGTTTTTCTTTGTTAGTTACAACACTGTAAAGGCTGTCTCTGTGTTATATGGGTCCCTTGCAGTGGATTATTGGCGAACAGGCCTGCTACACCTACTCCATGGTAGCAGTTCCCCTGTACGACACCCTGGGTCCTGAAGCTCTCGTGTTCATTATCGACCGAGGTAATTGGAGCTTCTCTTGCACTCTTAATGCGGCTAATAACAGAGTCCAGTAGCTTACCCCCCCCCCCCCCCTCTAGGGATCTGTAATCTCTTCACACTTATTAACCTCGACAGCACTTTCAATCTAGGCTTTTGATATCACTTCTGGAAGCTTTATCACAAGACAAAGAGCAGGGAAAATGCAGTAGCTTATAAACATTGTTTTTGAATCCTAATGTAAGTGTTTTCTCCCTAACCGCACTTTTATCCACTTTCGCCTCTTCTATACTGTCAATTTAAATGGTACTACGGTAAAAGTTTGTTTCTTTTTTCAGCGGAGATCTCCACAGTGCTGTGCGACAATGAGAAGAAAGCAGAAACACTGCTGCAGAGCCGAGAGGAAGGCCAGACTCCAGTCCTCAAAACCATCGTCATCATGGACCCCTTCCCCTCTGAGCTGGTCGAGCGGGGAACCAAGTGTGGGGTGGACATCGTGTCCATGCAGGATGTGGAGGTAATTTATTTATTTAATTGTTTATTTGGCAGGGACAGTGCACAGTAATGAACACTTAAAACATTCAAATGTGACAAGCGTAACAGTGCCAGATTTAGCTTTGAGCTAATTTCCATCCACACTTTAACACAAATAAGTGCAGAGTCATTGCTCGTGTTTATACTGACTTCAATTGAGATTGTGTTTCCCTTCTGAACAAGCATTAAGTTGTAGGATCAACATTATTGAAAGCCTGTTTTCTTCTGTTCTCCAGGCTTTGGGGAAGAGTAATCACCAAGAGCCAATTGTAAGTCATTCTGATATATTCATGTAATCCATTTGTATGAGATTTGACAAGCTGCATGCTGTTCTAATGTGGTCATTTCATGTTCCAACAGCCACCAAAGCCAGAGGATCTCAGTATTGTTTGCTTCACCAGCGGCACTACAGGTGAGACATTTCGTATTTATCAGCTGAGTAAGGCTTTTTTAAATCCTAAAGAATAGGAATTTGTCATTAAAAACAGTCCTGTGTCTCCATGATCATTAAATCTTACATGTGACGGAGCATTTTAATCATGAAAAGCAAGCTAGGCTATTATCTGTGGTTACTTTTAGCCACGTTGATGGTCCATCCTCTTCTTTTTTTTTTTTTTTTTTTGCATTGTGTGTTCTGTCTTTCAACTAAGTTATTATAAAACCTACCTGTTTGTTACCTGAAATGTAATGTCATGAAAGGTGAAATATTTTACTTTTCTTTATCAGGAAACCCCAAGGGAGCGATGTTGACCCATGAGAACGTGGTCTCTGATGTTGCGGGTGTCATCAAGAGCATAGAGGTATGTTTTAATAACCATTAGATGCCATATTTGAATGAAGTATTATATAGTTCTGTGTTGCTAACAGCCTCTGTGTCCCGCAGGTTGCAGGTGGTCCAACCACTCAGGATGTCAGCATTTCCTTCCTGCCTTTAGCACACATGTTCGAGAGAGTGGTACAGGTGAGATCTGACCATGACATTTTTGAAGTCATTGTATTACTAATAGATTTTTGAGGATGACTGAATTTTTCCGTTTTTTTGTAGGTGGTGATGTATGGTGCTGGGGCTAAAGTGGGGTTCTTCCAGGGAGACATCAGACTGCTGCCAGACGACATGAAGGCGCTGCAGCCCACCATCTTCCCCGCCGTGCCTCGACTCCTCAACCGCGTCTACGACAAAGTCAGTGATCAACAGCGTTTTAAATGAAATATACATTTATTTTTTATATATTTTCATTTTTCAGTTATAAAATAAACGGACATTGCTCCAGATAACAGAACATACAAAACATGTAACAACAAACAACTAAACAAAACATAACGGGGGGGATGCAAGGATGACTTCCTAAGACAGCTGATTGTGACAAATGAAATATACATTTATAACTGTACACTAAAGATTCATTTGATGTGCTTTTCAAATGTTTTCATTTAAAGCTATTTCCTGGTTTGAGCTTCACAAATTCTAAGATGTTGTTTTGAATCTCAGACTATTCTACTGACAAAACAAACATTGTTAAAATATCAATTTGGCTTCTGAGGACCTGTATTGTGCATTTTCTCACAATTGATTCATGTTGAAAAGAATCAGAATAAAAATAATCATTAGTTCAAAGTTAGAAATTAGTTCCACCACAACAAACTATAACAGGAATATCCTGCTTTTACATTCATGGTATAAGTTTAGTATTTAAATGATACAATATGTACTATATGTCATAGGGGTCATTTTGCTTTTAAGAACATTTTCTTGATTTGTATGACATGCTTGCATAGCAAACAAATTTAAAGGTATTTCAACTTTTACTGAACTAAAGGATCTCAATACTTCCTCCAGCAATTGTTTTAGACACATGGGCTACCCCTTGCTTCTCAATCCGCTTTTAACATCAACCCACAATTATTATATTAAATGCTGTAATCAAACATCCACAGGTTCAGAATAGCGCCCAAACCTCCTTCAAGAAGTGGCTGCTGAACTTCGCTGTGGAGAGGAAGTTTGCTGAAGTGAAGCAGGGCATCGTCAGGAAGAACAGCATCTGGGACAAACTCATCTTCCACAAAGTCCAGGTACAGCACCGCTCACACAGAGATACGTATAGAGAACAGGAAGTCGGTGAATGTTGAGCACACTCTATCCTCACTGCAGGAGTCTCTGGGGGGGCGAGTTCGGGTCATGGTGACGGCGGCAGCACCCATCTCTCCATCTGTGCTCAACTTCCTCAGGGCGTCTCTGGGCTGCCAGGTAAGAAGCATTGTTACTGTAAATTTAAATGGAAATGTGTTATTTTAAGTGGGTCCTATTTACTTGATTTTGAATCACATCTGTTGGACTGATTTTCTATATTTGAATACTTATAATACTTTATTATGTATTCTATCTTTTACTGTTTACATATTTTTATACACACTATATTGTAGTTATATTTTTTCTATATTATTTGTAACATTTCCCATATTATAATTTAGTCTGGTGTAATTTTGTCTTCATTTCTCTGGTATACTGGTTCTATTTTAACTTTCACTCCTATTTTGGTTTCGTATACCCCCCTTATTATTTATTCTTCTCTTCTCTATATATCTTTACTTATTTATTTCTTGCAACACATTGTTTTCCACTGTGCAAATCAAGATTTCAGGAAAGCTTTTTAAAACATGTCAGAACTTTTCCTCCCTCCCCACCTCTTTAGATTGACCTCGTTACATTTTTGTATTCAATCCCCAAATGCAACCTTTCTGTGATCAGAATTGGCCACTTTGTTTTGCCGATTCGACCCAGTTTTAAGAGCAGTCACATACTTAACGTAGTTTGAACCATAACGGCGTTCATCTCATCGCTCCATGCTGTCAGAATAATCTTTGATCTCTCTCTGATTGGGCTTCTCCTCTCAGATCTTCGAGGCGTACGGACAGACGGAGTGCACCGCCGCCTGCACCTTCACCATGCCGGGAGACGCCACCTCAGGTATGCAGTCTAACCTGCGGCACATGTCCTACACTGATATAAAGCTAAACCTGCCATATAAACATGGTGGAAACTTCTACTCAAACAAGTAACTCAAATGTGTACTCCAGTATTTCCATTTGACTTTGACTTTATACTTTAACCCAAGGGAAATATATTTTATTCCTCTGCAATGCATTCATTAATATATGGATTGATAATGGAAACAAGCAAATTACCAATAATGATTATACTAATGTACTTGTCCTTGAATACTATTTTAAAATAAAGGATTTTTACTTTTACAGTGTATTTTTTTGGCACTTAACTAAACGGTCTTATTTCCTCATATTCAGCTTTCTATAAATCACATGTTCATATAACTTTAAATACTATAAGAGATTTGGTTATTTTATAGGCAAGAAATCCTGTAACACAATCTTTTTACCAACAGGGCATGTTGGGGGGCCGCTGCCTTGTAATGTGGTGAAGTTGGCGGATGTCGAAGAAATGAACTACTTTGCTTCAAATGGAGAAGGAGAGGTAAGATAATGGAATTAGGGAAGATCCATATTGCTTGAACCCTGTTGATTTAGTTTTGAGCCTATATTTGTTTATATTTTGGCAACATCCAACAGAGAAAAGTATGCCGAATGATCTTTTAGCAGTTTTTCGATGTATTTCGTAATGGAAAACTATCACTGATTCACTTAGAACCTGATTAGTCTCAGGCACATATTGAATATATTTGTTTCTATTTTAATCACCATCTTGTATTGCTGCCTTTTTGTGAAGACAAAATCATTTACCACACATTAAACTTTGTATTTCTATTTTTCAATAGTCTTAAAAAAACTAAAATACTTTAATATTTCAGTTTAGTTAGCAACAATTGTTAATGAATAGTTTTTACTGCACTTTTAAAAGCTATATGACCATGCAAAATTAGATTATTAAATAATAATGTATTTATTGTTCTTCTTTCAGGTGTGTATCAAGGGTAAAAATGTGTTCAAGGGGTACTTGAAGGACCCAAAGACGACTGCAGAGGCCCTGGATAAGGACGGTTGGCTCCACACCGGAGACATCGGGAAATGGCTTCCGGTAAGAATCAAAACCCAGATAACGGGAAGATTCCAGTAAATGTTGTTTCTCCACAATGTAAATGAGTTTGGTTCACATTTACCACCGACTGAATCAGTACAACCACAGACTCCCATGAACCAGATGCAGTGTGTTTGAGGATGAAGCCCTGATGTCTTATCGGCTGATTGTATTCAGTGTGTGACCAAGGGGATTTAAGGTGGAATTAAAGAGCTCCATAAATGAAAAAAGGTTTAAGAAACTTGTTGATTTCTCCTATTTGACTGTACAATAGAGTGGAGTTTTGAAAATAATCGACCGGAAGAAGAATATCTTCAAGCTGTCTCAGGGAGAGTACATTGCACCGGAGAAGATTGAGAACGTGTACGGACGCAGCGGAACTGTGGCCCAAGTGTTTGTGCACGGAGACAGTCTACAGGTAAGAGCAGCAACTTTACAGTCAGCACACACACCCTGACTGATAACTAAACTAGTTTTCTGTGTGTGCAGTCCTACCTGATCGCCATCGTGGTCCCTGATCCCGACACCCTGCCAGGTTTGGCAAAGAGTCTTGGGTGCAAAGGCTCCATTGAAGAACTCTGCAAAAACACGGTAATGTTTCTCCGTGTAGGAGGCCTTTGTCTCATGTTGTAGAACTCTAACTAACTTTAGACAAACAATCTGGTACACTATAATGCAGTTCAGTGTGCAGCAGTGGTGCAAGAATTACTCTTAACTAGTGTAGAAATATAAAAAGTTTAAGTATTAGCATGTAAATATAGTAAATGTACAAAAAGTACTCGTTTTGCTAAATATCACCAATGAACAATGAATAATCATGTTAAATGTGATTATTGATACAGTAAGGTGTAAATCAGTTGAATGTTGATAATAATATATATATATATATATATATATATATATATATATATACTTTGAATGAACTTAACTGCAGGATCAATAAAGTTGTATCTAAATCATAAAGCATATATTTTAGTTCTACTTTGTTTAAAAGTCTGAATGGCTCAAGTATATACCATTTGTATGTAGTAAAACATAGTAGTTAAACAGTACTATATTTGCCACTGGAATTGTGTTAAGGATAAGCATACAATTAGATACTCAAGTGAAGTACAAGTACCTAAAAGTTGTACTTGAACAAATGTACTCAGTTTCTTTCCACTCCTTTCGGTATGTTTGACTTTTCTACCAAAACTCCAGCAGAGAAGTAAACATGATTATTATCACTAGTCTTGTTCCTTGATCTAAAACTCATAAAACACACTGCCTGCAACCAAATTGGGAATTAAACTAGAACAGTGTGTTCTGATTTTCTGTTTTTTTATTGGAGTACTTCTAACCGTGATGATGTTTTTTCTTTGTTTACAGGAAATTAAGAAAGCCATTCTGTCAGACATGACTAAGCTGGGAAAAGAGGCAGGACTCAAATCCTTTGAGCAGGTAATTACATTACATGTCACTTGTTAGACGCTTTTATGAAGTGTCTTGCCCAGGGACACAACGACATGCTGACTGCAGTGGGGTTTGAACCTGTGCTCCCTTGATCCGAACACCAACGCTCTATCCACTGCGCCACACGCCTCCAGTATCACTGCTTTTCATACCATTTAAAGTTTTTTTTTGGATAAGCTAGGTTTACACATTTTAACTTTGGGTTTAACTGGTGCTGTACTTTTCTGTAAACCTAGCTCAGTGCACCCTCTAGTGGTTAAGAAGAGCAGTGTTTGTTCAGTTTTGTTCAAGACCATGCAGATGTCAGACTTGACTCATTTCCTCCTCACTGACCAGAAATCCCCCAAATCTGTCTCTTATTACCAGATCAACAACTTCTAAACAAAGTCAAGCTTTTTTTCAGTTTGTATGTTTTACAGAATCTTGTTTCCAAACTGTTAACTATCTGCACTCTCTTCCTCCCTGTTGCAGGTAAAAGAGGTGTACCTCCACTCAGAGCAGTTCACCATTGAGAACGGTCTGTTAACGCCAACCCTGAAGGCCAAGAGGACCGAGCTCAAAAACCTCTTCCAGCCACAGATCGACAAACTGTACGCTAACCTCTAATAAACGATTACACCACCATCTTTTTTCCTGTCTTTGAATCAAACAACATCTGAGAAGTGTTTTGGCTGCAGAGCCACAATAAGATGATGTTATTCATCTTGTGCAGAACATGTTTTGCAGTGCATCCTGGGGGTTAGCTGGACAGACTTTTTGGCTACAATGCCTGAGTGAATCATCCTCTCACATTCCCAGTTGTTCGATGCAAGAAAGCATAGAATGTAATGTCAAATTTCTGGTCTTATTCATGTGTATTTGATTTCAAATTTTAATTATAGGATAAACCCCTTTGAGATGCTGATCTCATTTTTAAAAGGGTCCTCATGCACAGAGCATAAATTCAAAGATGTAATCGGTGATCACAAACTGGAAGTGATGCTGCAGTTTGGTGGCAGTAAATGTGCTTTAAATGGTGATGAAACATACTGGAAATATAACTTCTCAATTTCAAAACACGGTTCAACCCAGTTTATTTTGGCCAAATGAAAACATTGCTCACAGGTGAACTCTGACCTGTGAGTCCTGTGGAGCAGCTGGAGATCGCACAGAACAGGAAACACATGCTTAAATGTGTGGGTTGAAGTCAAGTTTAAAAAAAAGAAATCTTTTTTTTAATATAAATAATGAATGTAAAATAAGAAAAAGGGAATGATAAAACTGATATTTAAAAAAAGTACCTATAGACCACACAGCTTAAAATTACACTGTTGTAAGCAGACCTTAGTGGAATAAAGGAAGAGCTACTTATCAGAAAATTACCAGACAAAATGTATATGCGGGTATTATACATTTAGGACAACTTTATGACTAAGTGCTTGTCACTGCTTCTGACAATTGTGCACATGCTCATCAAAATCTTCACTTTGAGGTCAATATCTATGGAAGGATTACATTTCGAAAAGGTGTCAATTGATGTAGCTAGTCAATTCACAAAGTTCAACCGCAGGACGGAGTCCAGAACAAATTTCCTTACGAGGACAATAAAGTATATCGTATCGTATCGTAACCAAAGCAAAAACGTTCAGCTTTTTGTTTGTCTACACCAGGGGTCTTCAACTAAAATTCAACGAGGTCCAGTTAGAGAAAATCTCCCCATGCAAAGGTCCGGAACATCAAAATGTCTAAGTTGCTTTATGAATTAGTGTGATATTGAAGTGTCCTGTAGCTTTATCAACGTCTGCATGTCATCAACAACTGACTGCCAATCAAATAAAGAAAGTACAATTCAAAAACAACAATATGTATTGTCAATTAACATTGAACTCTACAGATATACAGTAAATACTGTGGATATGTGTAATGTTCCTCTCGGGCTGCATTTAAAAATAAAATAGCTTTTGAAAATATGTGCATCTTAAAAGTGCTTAATTTTAGATAAATAAAATAAAGTGTAGCAGCAGCTTGAGTTTCCCTTTTTCTTTGTTAACCGTTTCACATCATGACTTAACAGTTTCAGACGATTATAGAACAATATCAGTCTTTACACATCATAACAATTGAACAGTTTAAAGTTTCTCTTTCTTTCCCTCTTATATTGAAGTCCCTCACTCACTTTTTTTAAATTCAGTGTGAGAATTGAGCTGGAGCTTGTCCTGCCAGGAGTTTGTAAATCTGGGCTGAAATGGAGTCAGGGCCATTCTCACACACATGCAGGTGCTCATTGGTTACAGTGATGCAAACACAGGTATGGTGAAAAAAGAGAGAACTATTCGAAGCAGAAAAAAAACAGCGTAATATACCATCTGACAAAGGCCTGTGCTATAATGCTTCAATTAACTGCTATTCTTTATAATATACTCAGATCAATAGGAGACAGAGATGTTATTATTATTTACAGCAGGGGTGGGGAACCTTTTTCCTTTACATTTTTACAAAATCCTCCGAGGGTTGTACAAATTATTGAACTCAACCTCTGCTTAAAAAAACTAAAATCACAGCCCATTCATTTCACCTTTCTTTCATTCTGTGCAAAGAAAAAGCAACCTCTTAATCCAGATATCTCACCATGACTCACGTATGCATGCATGTGCACGGTGTGGCGTGACCACCAAAACAGAAAGATATGGACACAAGATGTGTGCAAATGTATTTAGTATCCTATCCATGTGAACATGATTTAAGTGGGGGGGGGGGGCATGTTCCCTCGGGAAGATTTTTTTTTAAATGTTGAAGTTAAAAGCATCCTATCTACTTTGAGAGCAACATTAGAGATCTATGGATACATCTCTCAACACCCATATGAAACAGAACTGTAAGCAGATTTTTCTTTTTGGATATTTTACAAATCACTCCCCTTTTAAACTATATTCTTGTTGTTTTTAACAACTTTTTTGTTACTGTCATATAGTATTTTATACCTGTTTTTCATTTAGTCTCATTAATAACTATAATGATCATATCAAGGTGTGCCTTAACCTCACTGAGCTGAGGTTATTTGAGCCTCTCAGGAGAGAGCTCTCTTCCACCTGGTTGTAGAAAAGCTCTTTAAATTCGTTAGCATAGCTAGCTAACCAGATGCTAATAACAACAGATCGCCACTGTGCTTACAACTAAAGACACAGCCACGCAAACACTGCGGCATGTGTACGGCTCCTTATGGGTATTGCAATATTTGAAGGGCTGGAGCGGAGTTCCGGTGCTCTCTGTCAGCACTCCTTTCAGACGAGACATATACCACGGGAAGACACGTTACGCTCGTGTTGTGTTCAAGTAACCTGTCCTTGGCCAGGAAAAACAGGTACTCACTTGTTTAATTATGTTTGCGGTCTAGATTTCTTCTTTTTTGAAGTGAGAAGTTGTCCGTCAGTCGGACTGACTCCCCACCCCCAAAACGAAAACTCTTCTGTTCTCCACGAATTACACAAGTCACCTAAATCAGCGTAAAAAAAGCGGGAGGTGCCGAAAAATCCCCTATTAATGTATTGATTATAGCTCCGGGTCCGTATGCCTATAGGTCGGCGTCTGGGTCCGGATCCGGACCGCGGTCCGCCTGTTGCCGACCCCACCATGGTCTACTACACACTGCCCTCATTTGGTACAGCACAAACATTACATGTGCTGATTTAGCATTTACCAGTGTCTGTGTAGTGTTGAAAATAATGAATGGAAACATGGCATTCATGGCTTAGTGATGTTTTGTATCATAAGAACAATATAAACAACGACTTACTTGGAAAACTCTCAGAAATTTGGAAAAATATTAGTACTTTTCCCATCAATGCAGCCACAAAGCCTATAAGGAATGTTTATAGTCAGGGGTGCACAAAACTTTTTTGCCCTGGTTCTCAAAGGAGCACCTGGAGATGTTGCTTGGTGCTCATCCTTAAAATGAAATAAACCGTAACTTTTGAGGGGGTCTTTATTTGCCAGACACACGGCACTGAACACACGTGCAGAGGTGAACACAGAACACACATGCAGAGGTGAACACAAGACAACATTAGCACGACCAGTAATCCTACAAGCTGTCATCACTACCCTCCTGACTGTTCTCCTCACTGTCTTCCTCTCTGTCAGACATGGTAGCTGATGATGTAGGCCTACTACTTTCTCTCTGGTTGAGTCTGTGATTAGCTGCTTGCATCCACAAGTCAACAGCTGGGTTTGGGTCGAAAGTCTCTGTTGTCATCTTAGAAAAGTGGATGTAATCAAATAAGTATGTGAAAATAACCAATAACCTACCATAGCCAATAACAATTTAATGTAGGCCTAACTTATTTTATTTATGTTGTTCATTCATATCTTATTTTACCTTAACATTTATTTATTTATGCATATTTTTTTATCTCTCCAGTTTTAAAGGATATTTTTGGTTACTGTCCTATAGTATACATTGGAATGATTTCAAACCTGTTTATCCCAATAATTATAAAGGAGTGCCTTGGAAATATGTGTTTACATAAATTGTGACCAAACCGTTTGAACTTAGACTAAAGTGAACTATCTAAACACTCAAGAGTCCTTTACCTCACTGAGCTGTAGTTATCAGCCTCTCAGTCTGACTGGAGAGGACTCTCCCTCCACATCATTGTAGAAACATCTTCTTCTTCCGTTAGAGCAGCTAGCACCAGATGCTAATAACAACAGCGCCGGAACCGGTGCACCCTCCCTCTCTCCCACGCTCAGTCGCACTTTGGCTGTGAGCTGCGGGCGCCAGATAAGCCAACATCCCCCATTTTAATCACTTACAGCGCCCATCGTACAGGGCAAATGAAACGTGTAACCGGGGTGAAAAGGGTGTTACATTTACTTAATTGTGAATATGTTACATCAAGGCGAAAATTAGGATGAGCCCCAACGGTCAAAAATGTTTTTTCCCTCCCAGAGCTGCCAGCGCAGCGCCTCCACAGATCTGGCGCCCTAGGCGAACATCTCATAGGTTCATATGCAACTCGCAAATAATTTAATTTCTCTTTCTCTCTCTTCTCTCTTCTATCTCTACTCTCAGTTTTGGCGTTAGATTGGTTCCTAAGATATCTATCTACTGATCGCTGAGCGATCGAGGAGAGCAGAGATAGATCTGGATCTCTCTCTCTCTCTCTCTCTCTCTCTCTCTCTCTCTCCTCTCTCTCTCTCTCTCCTCTCTCTCTCCCTCGTCTCTCTCTCTCTCTCTCTCTCTCTCTCTATGTTGGTACGCAAATGCGCCTTTTTTCAAATGACACGTGCTCTTTTTTTGGCGGAGGTGCGCATGCGCACCTGCGCACCTGCGCACCAGTTATGTGCAGCCCTGTTTATAATTCCTTATAGAGAGCACTGTTCCTATTACAAAAATTACAATTAGTACAAAATCGACGTCCTTTGTCCAACAATTAGTGCTGGTCAATGAAGGCAACATGTTGACGTTACATTTGAGTTTTGTGTGACTTTCATAGACCCAGAAAATAGCTCTGTCCCAATCTGCCCTGGTCTCCCCTACTATACTATAGTAGAAGTGACTATAAAGCGATACATGGAAATACTCAGTACATGAGCTCAAAGTATCCTACTACTAAGTACAAGTATACCTCACAATTGTACGTAAA